GGGGGTCCGTACAATAGTCCAGGGACCAAAAAGGGGTTTTAACCTATATTAAAATGTAATGTATTTAAAATTAAATTAATTTCTTGTTAAATTAAATTCCCTTTTAATTATTTTGATGAAATACAAGAATTTAGAAGCAAAATTTATACGTTAGAAGATGTATTTGAAATACATGTAATTTTAATTTTGAAATATAAAATTTTAAATATATGTATTTAGATGAAATTCAAATACATTACATTTAAATAAAAACAAATAACAGACTTAAATTTAGAATTTCAAATTTAAATACACTCTAATAAAATTCAAGTTTCCAAACATACCATTGAATTAAAATGATGTGGAACTTTAAGGGTACTCTGTTGAGCTGCTCAATTAGCCTTCGGTGTATGAAGATTTTATAATTTAAACTCTTTTTTGTGCTGTTCTAATTTAAAATCACTTCTTCTTCTTCTTCTTCTTTTTTCAAATATTTATTAATATTCTAATTTAATTTTTAAATTAATGGATATTAATTCAGTTATGCTATTTTTTAAGCTGTGGCTGGCTGCAAACATATCATCCCATAATAAGTGGCCCGTTCCTAACCCCTTGAGGTCCCATTACTATTAGTCTATTACTAATTATAATGGCCCATTACGGAAAGCTTCATCTAATCATCTCCCTCATTTATCTAAATTGCAAAACTCTTGTCAACGATCTAAATAGTTTAGTGGTCATCTTTTTTTATTAAAAGTAAAAGTTCTTGAGTTTGATTCGTATGACATGTGAGTAGAGTGGGATAAAAGATGAGAGATGATTGCTTCTCATTGTGTAAAAAAAAAAAAAAAAAAAAAAATTGCAAAACTCTTCCATTGGTTCAATACTCAGAACTCCCTGGTTCCAATGTCTACTCTACCTTCACACTAGACACTGCATCTTCCCTCTCAGTGCTTCGTATCCCTTATTTATCTAAATCACTTCACCAGTCACCCGTTTTAATGCTTTCTCTCTCTTTGGACATTCATGCACGCCTTTTGTTCTCTTAAGCCACATCTCTTTGCATTCGAGGTGTGGGTCTTTTAGATCTATATGTATGTTATATTTTAATTTGAATGCTTTTGTATTCAATTTTTATTTTTAATATTATTCAAGAAGTTAGATTTTTTTTTTTATTTTTCACTCACTGTAGTTATATATTGAGATGAAATTTTTTTTCTATGTTTTTATCAAATGCTCAATCAATTTCAACATCTTAAATCTTGATTTCATTTGATCTTATTTCACTTGATTTCATTTGAAATCTCATTCTATTTTTTATCTAAAATTGTGATTTTATTTTATTAGATTTCATTTATTTTCAATCAATTTTATTTCACTAACTTATGAAAAAAACTTCAACTCGATTTGACTCCTAACCTTTTTAAGTTAATTAGGATAAAATTGGCCTTTCTGTAACCCGAACATGACCCGACCAAACCCGGTTATCTACCAAGTCGATATTAGTTATGTATTTTGTTTTTCAAATGTAGTGCGAAACACTTTCTTCTCGTAAGAGATGATCACCTAATTAAGACTTGCAAATCACTTTTCCAATCGCTATTTTACAAGTTGAGCCTTTGAAGGTTCCACTTTGAGTTTTCAACAAGCTAAATTCACAAAATTGCTTTTTAGAAAGGTAAAAATGCTTTTATGAACGCATGTTCTAACTTAATAATCAATACTTTTACACAAAGGTGAAACAGCCAACGCCATCAATGATGCTCTTTTTTTAGATGATACTATCAATAGTACTCTGACTATTGGTAATCAAATATTTCATTACAAGAACAACAACAAAACATCACAATCCAAAACCAGAGCAGCAAAGGCAATCTTCAACAAAAAGAACACCAACAGGAGTAGAACAAATACAAATCAGTTGTGACAACATCTAACACATAAAACTAATTAGAAGGAGAAGTGAATTCAGAAGTAGTTAAATTAAGAATTATCCGGTGTAGATGTGAACGCCTATGGCGACGAGGAAGATGGTGATGAGACCAAAGAAGATAATGGCGTGGACAAGTATCGATAGTGCACTGGTCTGCATGTCCGCAAACTCCACCACCCTCATCCTCCCCGGTAACTGAAACAGCAGCCCCGGACTCAACAGCACGAACAGCACCACCGCTATCACCACCGGCCCCCAATCCGCCATATCTTAATTAGCTTCTCTACAACTTAGCTTGGTAGGAACGGAAATTTAATATATATAGCGGATATGGGCGCAGGATACGACAGAGCACTTGTATGATCTGTGTTGTTGAAGGAAGGAAGAAAGGAATATATGAACAGATCAGAGTATTTTTAATTAAGAAGCAACCTTCCCCATACACAACATGCATACATGCACATGTAACAATCGTGATTTGTGCCTTCTGGACAGATCGATGCCAAGAGTATCGAGCATTCGGGTTTTGATATATATCTGATAAAATAACAAAATAATACATAGTCCTTTTCGAAGGATGGAAGAAATCCGAATCTCAAGCAATCTCCCACGTTCATGACACAAGAAAAATAGAGAACGAATCTCTCGCGTAACGCTTTACTCGGAGAGTTTCGAGGCCTAATCTTTGGGGGCTTAAATATTGTAGTTTACCATAGGGAACATTATGTGTTTACTCCATCAAGTTCAAGGAAGGTTGAAGACAGTGCGTTTGGAAACTGTGAAAAGCTTTTGAATAAAGGAGATATGTTGGGGCCGTTTCCTTGGTTTGATTCCAAATTGTACCAACTGCGATACTATAGCAAAGGTTCACTGACTTCTATTAAAATCATATGGTCATTTTCTAGGTCTTGCTAGTGATAATCAATAGAATAAGAACAAATCCTACTGAATTTTTCTTTTTTCTTTTGAGCAATCCTATTGAAAATTTTGTGGCTTGAATCAAACTACTTTTAATATAAAGTCGACAAAGCACTCCATTATATTTATTCCACCTCATGATGCTGATTGATTGGTAGTACATGTTTACAGCTATTTGCCAAAACTCAAAATGCTGGCAGAGGCAAATACTATTGGGAGATGAAAGTAATGATTGGAGATATGAAGGATTTTTCATAGTGAATTACATTAACCGGTTAGATGAGAAGGTTTATTTTCATAATTGAGTGTGAGCTCTTTTATTCAATAATTGATATTACAAAACATTTTTTAAATATAATTTATTTTATAAGATAATAATTTAAGTAATTTAATGATAATTTATTTTAATAAAGAAAAAGTTTATTACTGAACTAACAACTCTTTAGATAAAGATTCATAGATCTTAAAAAACTCAAGTTAAGTTGTTAGTAGTAATTGGTTATCAAACTTATATATCAGATTCGCTCATAAATTTCCACCAATGTGAAATTTGGAGTATTACATTTTTCTTGCATAACTTAACATATAAAAAATAATAATTATAATATACTTATAATATCACATAGTATTATATAATTATATTTTTTTTTATGTAGACCTACACATAAATTCATATGCATATGCTATTTTAATAACACATTATTATTTCAACCTTACTATCATTCATAACATACATGTTTGATGTGTAAAACCCAAATTAAGAAAGGAACCGGGCCAAGATTTACATGAACAAAGTTTGCAGTAGTTGACAAGTGGTTCTATTGTCCCTTTGTCCCAAGGATACGCTAACTAGCAACAAGCATGTTCCTTTTTATATGAGAAGCAAATCACTATGGGTACCCCCTCTTATATTCCCAAATCTGAAATTTGAGAGCAACCTAAAGTTATAAAGCAGCAACCTTTAAGAGAATAATAAATGTGAGAAAAAAAGCTAATTTTTCATGATTTTTTATTTTTTATTTTTTAACAAGAAATTGGACAGTTTCACAGGAGACAAGAATATGATGGAAAACAAAGTATATGGTTGATAAGAAGCCAACGCAAGTTCATGGCCCCATAGCAAGTCTTGCTTTCATCACCAGAAACTACCTTTTCCTTTCAACACATGAACAATAGACTTTCAGAGATTTCCAGTCAACTTGGGCAAAATATATATAGAAGAATGGTTAATCAAGATAAGAACGAAATATTTTAAGTAGAAAAATTCGACATCAAGTAGAAACTATTTTTGCCTTTCAAAATATGAATAATAGACTTTTAGAGGTTTCGAGTCAACTTGGGCAAAATAAATAGTTAAAAGAATGGACGTTAATCGAGATAAGGAGGAAATATGTTCAAGTAGAAAAATCCGGCATTAATCAATTATAGGAAAGCTGTGAAGTAAAATACAATGTGGAACAACACAATAAGAAGGAAAGTAATCTTTCTCTTCCCCTAACATTTCTCATCTCTGCTTCACTACAACTCTTAAACCAAACAGAAAGAACATGAAAGAGAGAAGATAATTGTCAATTGACCATAAATTAAACAAACATTTTCAATATGGTCACTAAATTGATGTCAAGTGTCAATCCAAGTAGAGATGAACCTTGACAGCAAGGAAGAAAACAGAAACGAGGGCAAAGTAGATCAGGGAGTGAACCAAAATGGATGCACCACTAGTCTGGAAGTTGCCGAACTCTACGCACCGGTTGTTCCCCGGCACCTGGAACAGCAGCCCCGGCGTGAGCAGCACGAACAGCACCACCGCCACAAAAACTGGACCCCAGTCTGACATTTTTCGTCAGCCTTCTGTGTTTCTGATGTGGTTTGAGAGATACAGGGGAAACGACTGATGGTACTGCAGGGCTTGGCTGAATCATTTATATATGCAGATAATGAGCTTTTTGTGTGGCTGCATGTGATGAATGGTTGAGAATAACTTGCTTGTAATGCTTATAGTTTTTGAATCTCAAATTTGGCTCACCTTGGGTTGGCAAATACAGAGAATGTGTGATGTCCAAGAAATTGAAAGTGCAGTAACTAAAAGCATGATTAAGGGTGGTTTTGGGATTACTTCAGGATTGCTGTGAGGAATAGAAGTTATAATTATAATAAGGGTTATGTTAACTGGGAGTGTTGTAATTGTAATTAAAAATTATTTTGATATTTAATTATTTATTTTTTAAAGTATTATAAATAACATATGATAAATTTTATTAATTATTAATTAAAATTTAAAAATGTTATATGATATATAATTATTAAAAAAACAACATTTATTACTTTGTAATAATTTAAGATTTATTTTAGATTTTATATGAAGGGTGTTATTTTGAGTTTTGCGGGAGAGTAGTTTATAAAGAGAAAATAAGTTTTTAATTTTTTATG